TTCTTGCAAGATCTTGTGGAACATGACTTTTATGAGATTAAGCTGGTATTAATCTCATGGAGCAGGGTTCTTACATTACACAGGTGGAAGAAGGCGGTCCTGGTAACATTTTTAATGTGGGGGTTAAAAGACATGTCCTGATCAAAAATAACACCAAGTTTCTTTACACTAGAACTGGAGGTCAGATTAATGCCATCCAGAGGAGGTGAAAGGCTACAAAGTTGATCCCTAAGATGTTCAGGTCCATAAACCATAACCTCTGTCTTATCTGAGTTTAGAAGCAGAAAATAGAGCGTCATCAAGTTTTTTATGCTTCTATAGCCTGGTTAAAACCAGCCTCTTGTCCTTTGCTTTGCTTCATACAAGGGTCTGGACTCTCGGCTATAGAGAAGTGATTCTTGCTGGTTGCTCAGTTGGCCGCGATGTATGTGCCAGCTCCAGTGTGAAGGAAGCTAAGCTAAGAAGCTAACCGGAAATTGCGTGTGCTGTAAACAACCCTTCTGAGAGGAGAAAAGTACCGAACCGAACGAGATCACTGCAAATACGAGCTGCTGCTTTGTCAGACAAATTCAATTTAATTTGGAAGCCTTATCAACACAGACTGGCTTCATTCACTTCCTCCACTGCCATATGCTAAAATAACTACCAGAAACTGCGCAGAAATTCGACATTGTTCAAAACTCTGCCTTCTGTTCTCTGATAGGCCTGAATGAAATTCTCCTGTAGAAGACCTTGTCTATGGGAGAAATCCCAGATGGAGCTGTGAAGGGAAACTAGAATTGAGCGGAACTGAGTAGGAAGGCAAGGGCCAGGCTAATGTCTCTAAGACATACTTGTAGTTTAAGTAACTGGTTGGATTCATCAGGTTTCATGGATAAATATAACTGAGTATCATCAGCATAACAATGGAAATTTATCCCATGCTGTTTGATAATTTTACCTAATGGAAGCATACACAAAGAGGATTGGTCCAAGCACTAAACCCCGAGGAACTCCATGACTAACTCTGGGGTAAGAAGAAGATTCATTATTAACATTAACAAACTGAAATCTATCAGTTAAATAAGACTCAAACCATTTTAGGGCTGTTCTTGTAATCCCAATAAGTTCAAGTCTACGTAATAAAATATTGTGATCAGTTGTATCAAATGCAGCACTGCGATCTAACAGGACAAGAATGGACACAAGTCCACTGTCTGAGGCCATGAGAATATCATTAGTAAGTTTCACCAGTGTCAATTCTGTGCTATGATGAGCTCTAAACCCTGACTGAAACTCCTCATATAGATTATTTCTATCCAGATGTTCACATAATTGATTTGCAACTATTTTTTCAAGAACTTTTGAGATGAATGGTAGATCAGATATTGGTCTATAGTTGGCCAGAACTCCTGAATCAAGATCAGGTTTCTTAAGTAAAGGTTTAATACAGCAACCTTAAAGCTCTGTGGCAAATACTCAATCATTAGAGACAAATTAGGTAGATCCAAAATATGGATATTAATTAAAAAACATGACTATAACTTACAGATAATTTCAGACGTTGGTGTAAGCTTTATGTGGTAGGAGCTGAGAATCTTCCCCAACACATACTCCAAGCACTGCAGGCAACATGCAACTCTTTGGGGAATGCTAGACCTTTAATTTACTTGCTACTATAAAAGGTGGGTGACCATGCAAAGACATGTCTGTGCGTACGTATGTTTGACTGTCTGTTAGCAAAAATATGTCATGAACTTCTGCATGAATTCTAATTCCACTTCAGCTTTTATTTTACATTACACAAGTGCTTTTCTCAGCCACGTTTTTTTTTTTATCAAGGATAAACAAGCATTTCTTTTTCAACAAAAAAGTTTGTTTCACTAGGAAGTCAAAGTTTATTTGTGTAAAAAATAAATAAGAAAATCTCCCCTTTGCAATGATTTGTCTTTAACTGAGCTTTAGGCTCTTGATGAGCTTAAGGAAGGCCTTTAAAAAGCTGCAGCTGACGTCACACAGGCCAACCAATGGGAAGCGAGGCAGCGACAGCTGATACTCAGAGATCAGCAGCAGAGTTTTATCACAACATGCTTGTTTTTCTGTTCCTCTGAGAGCCTGAAAATGAAAGAATAAGAACTACAACGTGTTGCAGGTTTTTTTAAATCTTGTTGATACTTTGTATTTTTTTACTTTTCAAACATGGTGAGTTTGACCCTCTTCCCTTCTACAAAATGCTCCCACAGGGTTTTTATTTTGCTGTGTTGTGTCTCAGTAATGAGCACTGTGGTTTGAAGAGGGCTTTAGGTGCTTCTGTCCACTTTACCCTGCAGAGATTAGGTGCTTTAAGCTGGCTTCACGTGGTGCTTTGCTTTTCTGCTGCAGATATAATTAGACTCCTGCAGTCAGAGATCTCCTGTCACTGAGGACCTGCTGAGTCCTGAACAGAGACTCTGACAGGGTCCATTTTATATGATTGTTTTGATGCTTTTATTTGGACTCAGTAAACTAAAACTGTAAAATAAAAATGATCAAAAAATATAAATAATTTAAGTTAATGTAGACAGGTGCATTATGTTCACCTACTTTGCTTTGAAGCTCCAGTACGTTCAGAAGTCACATGTAGTAAATCTAAAAGGTATTTATACATTTTACACATTTGTTATGACCAGTGGTGAATAAAGTAATCAATTTCATTACTTGTATCAAAGTACTGATCCTACTGGTAAAATATTACCAATATTACTCCAAAGGTAATGGTAGCTGTCATATCAAGTATTGGAGCACATGCTTTAAAAAATGCTGAAGTACTGAAAGTATTTTCAAGTAGTCGAGAGTAATTGGGAAAACTTTCTGCTATATTAAACAGATCAGTAACGCCATATATAATAATAATACATTAGTCTTTTATAAACACTCAAATCTTTTTTACAGATTCCTGCATTATTCTTTCACTCCTCAGTCTTTCTGTGGTCAAAGTGTTGCTGCCATTCTGCACCTACAGCCCCTCCAGACCACCACAGTCACACCAACAGAGCTATGCAAGTTTGTTTACAGATTTGGTTTTGTGTCTTGCCCAGAGACACAACAACAGTATGAGCTCAGGCAGGGATTTGAACTGGCGATGCTCTGGTTGCAGGGTGAACACCTACCCCCTGCACCACTGAAATCTAGATCTTTTTCATTATCCCTCTTTTACAAGAACTGTCAGCTCATTTAGTCTCTACAACACTCTTCCACTAAATATTAGACATCCCTCATTGTTTTCTTTTACATCTTTACTTAAGATTTATTTTTATAATAAGGCATTTAATATTTGAACTTCTTTTG